GTACTTTGTGTGTGTTGTTTTTTTTTTAATAATAAACTTTTTTTTATTTAACATATTTCTCAATATATAAAATAAAATAAAAAATCAAGAAAACACCCAACTCTATGTATTGTAACATCAGTTGATAACAAACTTCTTCAAAGTGAAAACTCTTGAAAACAACAAGACTGTTTTGTCTTATTGCACAAATTAAAATCCAGCTCCACGTATTTCTGTTGATGTCATTTCCCCGCTAGAAAAATTGTGTGATGGAGGTCCACGGAAGGCAAATAAATTTAAATCAAATAAGCAAAAGAGGATGGAGTTGAAATAAATAAAATGTATTCAAGCTATGTTTTGAGCATCCAAAACGCACCAACACTTCAAGTTAGCTGCTTGTGCTCTTTTAGGTCAGACGTGTTTGGACTGTCAGGAAGCACCTCTGTTGTTTTCCTCTGTTGGTCTCTGTTTAATGGAGGATGAAATAATGAAAGTGGCGGTACTTTATTTACTTTGARCAAGCAAACATCATGTTCACAAGATAATTAATCCACCAGATAATTCAGAGGCGGTCTGTTCAACGAGTTTTACTCCAGGAGCTGTGAGGTTTTCAAGCTACGTTCAGACTGAACTCTGTTTACTGAACCAGCAGCTGCTGACGTCATTACGCTCTTGCGCGATGCTGTGTTCAGGACAATCATGGAAAACTCACCACTCTTAAGCCAATACGGTCACAATGATGCATTTAGTTACCACAACATGGTACCATTTGATGTTACGTGAATAGGTTCTCGGTAGTACCGACAGAATTTGGTCTTTACTTACAAAGTATCGTATTTGGTACCCATCCCTAGGAAGGAGATCATCAAAGGTACAGCACAGTTTGAACAACTGGGAGATAAAGTTAGAGAGACCGGACTGAGATGGTTTGGACATGTGAAGTGAGGGACAGTGGTCATATTGTAGAAGGATGTTAGAAATGCAGCCTCCAGGAAAAAGACAGAGGCCAAAGAGGAGAAGAAGAGGAGAGAGAGAGAGAGGACATGGAGGTAGTTGAAGTAAGGACAGAGTGAGATGCAGATGGGTGACTGGCTGTCAGGGCCGGACCTATACATTTGGGGGTCCTAAGCAGCTACATAATTCGCTTAATGGCAGGTCCAGCTCTGCTGGCTGTGACAACCCCTGAAAAGGAAACAGCTGAAAGAAGAATGTGTAAAGAATTTCAGATTTGTTGACATTTTGTGCAAACCTTGATAAAATGTTTGCACGATCTCTTGCAATGTTGCAAGATTTAGGGAACTGTACTAGTGCTCGGTGTATATGTGTTAAGGCTGACTCTCAGCTGCTACAACATCTTGGCTCAATATTTTTCAAACTTACTGGGTTAAAGCCACTTTATTGTTGGTTAATACCAATTGGCTGTGCCAGCCAACATGAACTGGACTGCCTTCAAAAGTTAGTTAATTCTAGATGTGTGCCTGATGATGCAAATCTGTCTTGTGGTTTGTAAGGTATTTGCTAGCAGACAGACAGACACACACAGACAAGCAAAAATATAATTTCCCTTTTTTCTTCAGGGGCAGGTGATGTTAAAGCAGAAAATATCTGTTTGACATTGGAACAACTTGAGGAGCTCACACTTGCTAACACTTTCAATATTACTGATTGTCCATCCCAGCTACTCTGGAAACTGTTTGTGGCGTTGATGACACTCAAGCATTTTTTCAGCCATGTAGACTCAGTTCTTGTTATGTTAATGGTGCACATATGTATATTGTTATGTTTTTGTAAGTAATGTGTCTGTGACTGTGTTCTCTTGTCCACAGTGCTGCATGGTGCTGAGCCCCTCCCTTATTACACTGCTTCCCATGCCATGAGCTGGTGTTTACAGTGTTCCCAGGGGGTGGCCTATCTCCACGGCATGAAACCAAAGGCTCTCATTCACAGGGACCTCAAGCCACCCAAGTATGTTCCTCCTCCTCACCACACACTCCTGTCTCACATTTCCTCATCATCACTGGCATGCACAGTCATATTGTGGGGCAGGTGCTCCAGTGGTGCGTGGTCCTACCAGCTGCCTTAAAGCCTCTAGTGGGTTCGTACACAGCACGACCAAAATCGGCTCTCATTGTTGCAGTAGTTGCATGATGAAAATTGTGTCATTCAGTTCACAGCTTCGAGTCTTCCACTCCTTGCGTCACAACACACCGGGACAACTTTTTACCCCCACCCCCCCACCACATACAGTGGTTTGCAAAAGTATTCATACCCCTTGAACTTTTNAACAAACCTTATCCGGGCTGTTAAACGACAAACATCTCCAGCATCATTTTCAGGGGGACGGAATTGTGAGGAGCACACATTTCCTAGAGGGACGGAATTTTGAGGAGCACGTCTTGGAAGAGCTGCGGAGGAAAACAGTCCGAAGTCAGCTAGACAAGTTGGGAAAAGTTATGTCTGTCTGTCCGGTGGATGGGAAGAGACGTTTTYTAAACATGGATGTTATTCTACGGCTTCCCGTACAGGAATAGTAGAAAATCTCCTCATGTCCACAGAAGCAGCGCGGGGGGTGGATTGTCGAAGCTCAAAAGTCCGGGTAGCCAGAGTCAGCAACCAGGCTAAGAAGCTAAACGTAAGCTGGTTAGCTCAGCCCCTCTGGCCTGGGCCTTCTTTAAGTTCTCTTGTTTGAAACTCCTCTGTGGTAAACGTGGAACTGATTAAAACAGAAAATTGCTGCACCGATGCTTGTAAATCAGTTTAGAACATGCACAGCGAGTTTTCAGCTTTCCACGAAGAGTTCAGGTTAGCTCAGCTGGTTAGCCTTCAGGAAAAAAACAAAACAAAAACATCGCTTTACCGAGTTTGACAGCTCGCAAAGTAAAGTGCAGGAAAAAGAATCCAAAGTGGTGAATTCATGTATTAGGCTAATTAACCATTCTATTTATTAATGACATGCTTAATACATTTTGTGCCGCTATTTCTGTGTTAAAGCTTAAACTACAGCTTAGTTTGTGAATAGACATAACGTTTTTTCTGACATTCTCTTTTCCTCAGAGTTAGTTCCTAGCTGACTTGAGCTAGTAATGTCTCAAACATTACCGTCTTCCGAAATGCTGGAAACACCACCCGGATATCCATTCGAAGAAATCATTTATGAGGATATTGAAGTTGAAGAGGTTAGTAGTGTCTTGTTCAAAGGACCACGATGAGCCACAGCTGTGCTGACAGGTTGTTCTGATAAGTAAAAAGCTTTTTGTTTGAAGGTGGTCGGGAGAGGAGCTTTTGGAGTTGTCTGCAAAGCCAAATGGAAAGGCAAAGATGTTGCAATCAAGACTATCGAGAGTGAATCGGAGAGGAAAGCCTTTATTGTTGAGGTATTCTTGTCCTTTCTTCTGTGTGTGTGAGTGAAACAGAGAGACATACAGTGGGGAAAATAAGTATTTAGTCAGTCACCAATTGTGCAAGTTCTCCCACTTAAAAAGATGAGAGAGGCCTGTAATTGACATCATAGGTAGACCTCAACTATGAGAGACAAAATGTGAAAAAAAATTTGAGAAAATCATTTTGTCTGACTTTTAAAGTATTTTTTTGCAAATAATGGTGGAAAATAAGTATTTGGTCACCTACAAACAAGCAAGATTTCTGGCKGTCACAGACCTGTAACTTCTTTTTTAAGAGGCTCCTCTTTCCCCCACTCATTACCTGTATTAATGGCACCTGTTTGAAGTCGTTAACAGTATAAAA